ATGTTCGCTCAAGTTTTGAGAACCACTGGTCTCAGGATACAACCCAGATTTCTTGTCCAAGTTGAGTTTAAAAATGCATATTTAATATTATACCAAATATTGAGTTTGGTTTTGGTCACCATATTTAATTTGTTTTGAAATTTCAGATAAAATTAAAAGAGCTGTGGAGGGCGCCTGGGTGGCTCAGTTGGTTAAGCGACTGCCTTCGGCTCGGGTCATGATCCTGGAGTCTCGGGATCGAGTCCCTCATCGGGCTTCCTGCTCAGCAAGGGGTCTGCTTCTCCCTCTGACCCTCCCCCCTCTCATGTGCTCTCTCTCTCTCTCTCAAATAAATAAAATCTTTAAAAATAAATAAATAAAAGAGCTGTGGAATTTTTAGTTATCAAAAAGAATAGGGTAGATTTCAAAAGGTTTGAGAACACTCATTGTACAATTCATGGACCTTAAGAAATTTTTAACTTAATTGAGGAAATCAGCATCTCCATTAATCTATCGTCAGGTGCCTGATGAGGGAGTACGGGGAATGAATGTGCCAATGGGAGGTAGCAGGAAGAAATCAGCTGAGTTCTGAAAAAAGCCCTGAAAGACACAAAGGACTTTTATTTGGGAAGGGAGACAGTACAGGGGTTTGAGGAAATCACTGAGCCAGGACCTGGAAGGTCAAGGCAGACAGGAACTGGCATATATCTAAAGGGAGCCAATTGGAAAGAGAAAGAGTTTGGAAGGAAGAGTAGACCAGTTTGTACATTGCAGGCAGGTCTGCAAGAATGTTGAACCAAACAACCCAGGAGAAGAGTTCTCAAGTAAGAAGGCCTTGTCAGATGTGTGTGGGGTTGATCACTCGGGAGCCCTTCAGCTTCAAGTGACGGAAACCCGATTCAGACTGGCCAAGTCAAAAAGGAAGAATTTATGGACTCCTGTCACTGACATCTAAGAATAGTCCAGGGGCCCCAGCAAGGTCATTTCTGATGGGTCCCCTTCTTGCCATTCTCTATGCCAGCCCTTTTCTCAGGGAGGTGCCCTTCCTGGGGCAATAAGCTGGTAGCCAGAAGCTTCAGGCCTACATCAAATCCCCAAAAATGCAGCCTATGTCCTAGAATTGAGCTTTGGGTTCAGATCAGCTAGAGCAGGTGCATGCCCCTCCTGGAAGCGGGGTGGGTAGAGCCACTGACCCCCACCCCTCGTGCACTGCACATAGCAGTGCGGGTACTGGAAAGGGGCTGCCTAAGTCCTGGGCAGAGGTGTGTCCTCTCTGTAGGGATACTGAAGTGAGGGAAGTTCGAGGAAGGAAGGTCAGCAAGGAGGCTCCTGCCGGAACTTAGGTACAGACTGATGAAGGCCAGGCTCGGAATTGTTTCTGCAAAATCTCTTGAAGAGAACAGACTCTGACTATCACTGGAAAGAAACAATCACCATGGCTTTAAACAGGGCAATTAAAAAAAAAAAAGCACTTCCTCGTCTTGCTGGGAGAATAGGAAAGAGATTAGTTGGTGCTCTTAATGGCCATCGTGGAGTTAAGAAGTTCGGAGAAATGGCAAAGCCTCAGGTCTCACACTGGGAGGTTTGTGTAGTTGCTGGTGGGAGATCCAAGAGCACCTGTGTGCCATGGCCAGAGACGTCAACGGTGGCCATTCGCTCTTGTATCCTTCCTCCTTGAATTCTTCGCCCAGAGAACTGGCAGTGCTTACATGCCTTTTTGTTTCCTTTGTTAAACTAAGTATTTTGGGACTTGTTTATCCCCTCCCGATGTAGCGCTAAGCTTTGAGAGCCGGGCTATGTTTTGGATTCCTAACTGCACTCCGATGACTCAGACTTGCAGTCTGTACTGATTTTCTCTCCCTGATTTTCACCTTTGAAATAAATAAATTTCTGGAAGAGAAGTGGCTAATAGGACTCCCTAGAGTTACAAGTATCCCTGATAGTCTGAGTTCTATATGTAGATGAAAAATGTGCAAAACGTCGGAAGCACTTTTTAACAAATGGAATGTGATGAGCTCAGATTAGCCAGGTTCGGGCTCAACCCTCTACCACATAGGTGCTTGTAAATGCTCTTTATCCTAATGGAGCTGTGGACTAGGGAATGAAGTTTTCAGCTGATTCTTCAGAGGGCGTTGGATAATTCTGATTTGGGGAAAGTCACTTAACCTTGGTAGGTCTTACTTAGGACCCAGACCACTTAGTTACCTTCTATGGGGTGGTTTGGAAGAATGACCAAAAAAACAGGGTAAAACACTGGAAAATAAAGTGATACTAAAATATTAAATATGCTGTAGGGTAATAAAATTTTAGAGTAAAATGGGGATGTTCGATGGTTTTTGGGTTCACAACTAACAGGCACGCTAGCTGGGGTTGATTTATCATGGTTCACAGAAGAAGCTCCAACAGTAGCGAAGAAGAGCAAAGCTTCCCAAGTGTGTGCTGGCCCTGGAATCAGATAGTGTCTTCATTAGAGTATTAATCTCAGTAGAAGTTGGACTTAAACTTGGCAAAATGACAGAGACGCTGACATCAGAGTTATTAAATTGAAAAGATTGCCACTCAAGTCAAATCAGATAATGCTTTTACTGTCATTTCCAGTGCTCTTAATGCTGTAAAGAGAGTGGAGAAAATAAACCCTAACTTAAACAGCTGTGTGCTTCTCTCCCTATCTTTGGGATTGCTGTCAAAATACCAGAAGATTAAGTATGAAATCAAAGCAGGAAGGCTTGTGACTGATTGACTCCTATACAAACATTAAAAATTCATTAGTCACCAACGAATTTTTCCCATGGCTGTAAAAGTAAAGGAAGAACATCTTATTGCATGAGAGAAGTAAATTATGCCAGTAAATTTTCTTTAAAATGCACACTTGGCTCTTCTGAGGGGTATGTTCCTCATGCCTGAGAGCATCTCTGGGGATGACATGAAATTTCTCCTGGGGATGTCACTAGAGTTCCTGTGAATAGGAGTGTTCTCTTTTCATTTCTCTCCCTCAATCAGGGTGAAGTCAGTAAAATTAGAGCCCATGTATCAAGAATAAAATCAGTTCTTTCAGATCTCAGATCTCAGTTCTTTCAAATTATCCTTGACCTTTTCCTCTCTTAGTGTTTGCAGTCAATGCCAGTAACTAAAGTCCTTGTGGTTTAGCGATCACCCGATTTCCTACCTCATTTTTGCTTAGTATTACCATAAAACCTGACCTAGTGCCCAGTCTGCCTCTTGTGGAGACCGTAGTAAGTGGGGGTTTGGCTTAAAGCCCATTAGTAAATTTAGAAAGTAGTTTACTTGCTCAAGATCATGGGCATTCAGGAGGGCACGTGATGTGATGAGCACTAGGTGTTATACGCAACTGATAAATTATTGAACACTTAAAAAAAAAAGATCATGAGCCTAATCATCTCACTAAATCCATACTCCCGCCTGAAGTTTAATTGTTCCATCTTATTTTTCCGGCGCCACGATTTACAGCCAGCTGTTGGATTTGGGATAAGGATCTGCATTTGGGGTGTGAAGTGTTAGGATTCCAGTGAGTACATAGGTTTCCTGGGGCCACTTGCAGCCTGCACGGCAGAGATGCTGCCAATGCTGTGCCCTTTGCTCCTGGGGATTGCACTACACCAGGAGCTCCTGGAAAGTAACACCTGCACTTCATGCCTATTGGTCATTGGAAATGCCTGTGGCACGAGAGACCCCTGGATCTCTGTAGTGGCCAGCGGGGCAAATATTTTAAAAAATGGGATGTCCTTAGCCTTTTCTCTAATAGCAGATCGCCTGCCTTCCTGGGGTGACTGGGTTGGGTCTAGCTGCTCACGAAGCTGCATACTCTTTTCTACAGTTCTCTGCTGGTGAGTTCACCAGTCTGCTGTGTGCAGGAGGGATGTCTTTCTTTGGCACTCATACACTTGGTCCTTCTCTGCATTTGGGAGGTGTAAATGACACGCATGTATGCATTTCTGAGGTGCTGGGATGGAAAGAGCATATTCTTTGGGGTCTGTTAATATCACATTTCATAGCATTCATCTCATCAAGTATCAAGGGATTGAGTTGGTTGCGCTCTCCTTTTTTTTTCCCCCTTCCTGCCTAATCTTTTCTTCCCACAGAGTTCCTATTAATTGAACACATGCCAGAAACTTTATATCCATCCCCTTATTTTCCCTATACGTTTGCCCCAAGAGGTTGTTTCCATTGGCTCTAGATAAAGAAACTGAAGCATGGAAAAGTAAAATGACTCTCAAGGTCGCCTGGCTGGTAAGCAATTGAGACAGGATTTTAATTCCAGGCACTTGGTTTCTTAAAGCTTGGGCTCCTTCCACAGCACTGTTGCTCCCAACCTTGGATGTGCAGCGGCATAGGCTGGCGAGCTACACAAAAAAATCCTTGAGTTACATCATAGGCTTTTCCTATTCTGAGCCCAGGCTGGGGGCCTGGCACTTAGAAGTCATATTACAAATGTTAATTTGATGCCCAGTAATTCTTGGCAGGTAGGAAGCAATCTATAATGTTTGAGTCAGGGGATGACCATATACTTATCAACAAATCCCAGTATGGTTGTTGAAAAGAGGTATGTCCTGCTCCATATAAGACCACAACCCTCAGCTCTTCACTCCCAGCCCCTAAAAGGGCCATCGTTTCCTTTTATGCCCATAACTGAAATGCTACGAACACTCAACAGATGCTTTGAAAACTCTAAAGTACAAGACAGACGATATTCTTCTTATAAACCGTAATTTCCTAGATGCACTGAATCCTATTAAATGAAATCACAGGTCAGAGGACAAGAAGTTATAAACTAGGAATATAGCCTAGTAAAGAGGTTCTGGGAGATCCACACCCTGAAATCTGAAAAGATCCATCAACTTGAGATATGTTTTCATGTTAATAAAATGTGTTAACAAGGTCTCAAGGCAATACAGTGAATGTACGGTCGGAGTCACAACGTCTGCTTCTGAAGGCCTCTTTTTCTTTTGCGTCTGAATGTTGATTGAGTTCAACTGTTTTCCATCACTCCCTTCTACCAACAGATATGAATGTGGAGAGCGAGGAGAATTTGGGATGGGAGAATGCAGTGCAGTCATTTCACGTTCTAACTAAATGCCTGAGGACGATGTGGAATGCGGTGCTGGGAAGGTAAAACAGTTCATAGTCACGGAGCTAAACGACTTTCCTGCTTCCAGCTCAGGTGATCAGTGGTACAAACAGTGGGCTTATAAAAATGGACAGTTCTGTCCTAATTAATTAGAAGAAGAATGCCCATAATCTCAGTCAGAGAAACATCTATTTTGGCACTAGACAGTTTTCTGTGAGTGCCGTAATACAGTAAGTTTGGCCAATTTTATTCAAATTAAATCTTAAATGACTGTAGAACCTAATTCAAATGAACTGCTCCAGTGAATCTCTGGTTTTGTGAGCTATATCTATTAAAAGGGGGTTCTGTGAATTATTATTCACTTTGATGTTAGTGGGATAATTGTTCACATTAGCTAGAAATGGCTTACAAATAGGCAAGTATGTAAACTTCATTTTGATTATGTAAACAGTGTTCAGAGCAGAGGTTAAGAGCTTGGTGGAGCTGAATGGGGATGAGAGAGAAAGCAGAGGAGCCAGGCTCCGGAGGCAGACTGCCTGGGTTGAAATCCCACCACTGATGCTTTTTTTTTTTTAAAGATTTTATTTACTTATTTGACAGAGAGAGAGATAACTAGAACAGGAACACAAGCAGGGGGAGTGGGAGAGGGAGAAGCAAGCTTCCCGCTGAGCAGGGAGCCCGCTGAGCGGGGCTCGATCCCAGGACCCTGGGATCATGACCTGAGCCGAAGGCAGACGCTTAACGACTGAGCCACCCAGGCGCCTGCTGATGCTTTTTTAGTAAAGGACCTCAGCCAACTTACTTATCCTTTCTACCCTTCAAGTTTTCCATATGTAAAATAAGGATATTAACAAGCTCTTAATTAATATTTCTTCATCTGCAAAAGGGGGGCATGAATGATGAAAAATAAAGGGAACTGCTTAGCATAGCATCCTCCTTATGGGCAGCACGTAAAGGCAGCACTGGTAAGAGTCCTGCAAGTGGTAACAGTAGTTTTGGAGGCCATTACGCTTCAGCCATACTTACTGCCTTTTCACGCGGGAAGCTGTTCCAGCGCTGTGGTCATGACTGTAAACCATACCACCTGCCCAGTGTGTTTGAAAGGTCTTATGGGAGACCCTTGGCAGAAGCCCCTGCATGGGACCTGAGACTCTTTGACATGGTAACACCATGATTTTTCTTTCTAACGGGAAGCAGATGAAGTTAACATTCTATGATTGTTGTTCAAGGTTTTCAGCAAGGTCACCAAGTCCTTGTGCCGCCCTCGGAAGAGGGATGAGAACGTGCACTGTGGTGAAAGTCCCCAAGTCTCCGTTTGCTTTAGAGCTCATGCTCACTTGCTTCTCTCTATAGGAACAGGGACAAACTTGTCTCACAGTGTTCTAAACAACCTAAGTAAGTGACATGGATGTCACCATGGTGTCTTCTTTGAGGACATGGTGACAACATCAGAGCACTCTGAGGTCTTAACCACAACACTCGGTGGACTCCTTAACAGACAGTTACGTCTATTACAGAGCTTTTAATGTATGGAAATGTTAGGGATGGAAACAAATATAATTACTGTCTGGTCTCTCAGCTAAGGATAACCATTGCTAATATTTCTGTATTGTACACTTGGAACTAATATAACACTGTATGTTAACTATACTGAAATTAAAAAGAAAAAAACCTTGTGAATATTTTTTCTATGTGCTTCCCAGGCTTTTTTGTTTGTTTGTTTGTTTGTTTGTTTCTCTATGCAAGGGTTTGGGTTTTGGTTTAAAAACTGGTGCCTATAGTACCTATGTAAATCGATATCATGTTTTTCACTTATAAGTATTTTCAATCTTATTTCAAAATTTTCAAAACCAACTTTTGTAAGTTTTAATATTCATATAACATAATTTACTAATATTCTTTTATTATTTGATGTTTAAGCCTTTTAGCAGCCTGATACTATTATAAATAATTCTTTGATGCCCATGGAGGACTATTTCCTTTTTTTTTTTTTTTTTTAAGATTTTATTTATTTATTTGACAGAGAGAGAGATAGCGAGAGCAGGAACACAAGCAGGGGGAGTGGGAGAGGGAGAAGCAGGCTTCCCGCCAAGCAGGGAGCCCTATGTGGGACTCGATCCCAGGACCCTGGGATCATGACCTGAGCCGAAGGCAGACGCTTAACGACTGAGCCACCCAGGCGCCCGGGAGGACTATTTCCTTAAGATATTTTCCCAGAAGTACTTACTAGCTATTTTAAGTCTCTTGATACAAATTGCCAAATGGCATTCTAGAATATTGGAAACAATGTAGCTGACCAATAGTAGGGGTATGGTTGTATAAATTATGGCATTTTCACATGACAGAATATTATGCAGCTATTAGGATTGTTTTATAAGAATGGGGACATTGCTCATGCTATGAAGATTTGCCTCATTTAGAGGAAAAGGATAGATCGATAGATGATAGATAGATAGATAGATAGATACAGAAAAAAGACATAAAGGATATGTAATATCTCAACAGTGAATGCCTTTGGTTATAAAATTGTGAATAACTTTTATTTTCTCCTTTATTATTTTAATGCATTCCAGCGTTTCTATAAAAAGCATGTATTGCTTTTATAATCAGGAAATTGCTTTCTCAAAGCATTAAACTAAATGTATCATGGTGTTAAGGTTCTACCATTCCTATGAATCCTTTGCCTCTTTTAAAGCTCTTGAGCAAAAATAACACTACCAGTTTCACTAAGAAAATGAAACTTCAGTTCTTCCAGCTGTTCAGTTCATACACTCTAGTATTTTGATTTTTAGAGCAGTTAAGCAATGAAGTTACAGAGGTAGTCGACAGTTGCTACTTCACCTATTAAGACGTTTTCCTAAATTCAACTCTTTAAATGGTGGACTCCAAGCTGCATAGACACTGTGGTCATGCATTCACCCATTCATGTATTCATTCCAAATTGTTTACTTTGAGTACTTACAGTGCTTAGGACTGTACTCGGGACTAGGAAATAGAAAGAGGAATGAATATTCCTGCCCTCTGGAAAGTCACAGCTAAATGTCCTTCAACAGGCACTTGACTCATGCCAAAATTTTAAGAAAGCTATCAAGAGTAATGTGAATTTCTGCCTTGGGCTACTTAAACATTTTTAATATTATGTCTCTTGATTTCTTTGACAACTTACCTGTGCGATAGTTGTTACTTGGCAACTGTCCATGTCATTAGATACATGTAGCTCTTTATATTTAAATTGATTACAATTAAATCAAATTTTAAATTCAGTTTCTTTGTCACCCTAGCCACATTTCAAGTGCGTATTGGGTATATGTGGCTGGTGGCTACTACATTGGATAGTGCGGGGAGTGTTTCCATTATAGCAGAAAGTTGTATTGGATGGCCCTGTTCTAGAAGGAAGTATATCACTCTCCTTTCCCACCACCCCCACTCCACAGCCTCAGCAAGTCCTTCTTATGCTTTCATCTTTCATTATAGCCCCCTACGAGGACTCCAAGGATTTCCCTCACAAGCCATCCTGCCCATCCTCATCAGACAGATAATCCTTAAAGGGCGTGATGAACTGTGGCTCCCAAATTAAAAAAAAAAAAAGTTGCCTTCTCTCTAGACTTCCAAATAAATTCCAGACTCTTCAGGCAAGTCTCCTGTAACCCATCCTCCATCTCCTTCCATGGCCATATCTGTGACTTCATCTAGTGGCCACCATTCCCCATCTCCCAAGCTCCCTCTGCTCTCACCTGCCTCTGACTTACCCGTCATGCTATCCCAGCTGTTAGAAATGTCATTTTCCCTCATTGTCCAGACTAGGAATCACTTCAAATGCCACCTCCGCCATGAGTCTTTCTTTAATCCCCATTCAGAAGTCAGCCCTTCCCCCTTCTTGCTTATGGCTCGGAATCTGTCCCGCCTACATAACATTATTGCATAACAGATTGTATCATATGTCTTGCTCATTCCCTTTTTCCTCGTCTAGACTGTAAAGTCTCAGAGTGGTTTAAGTGCACCATGGTATGACTCACAGATTTTTGTTGACTAAATTCAGAGGCACACAGCAGTCACTATATTTTAATTGCAACGTTCAAGTGTGTTAAATACCCGTGTGACCCTCATTCCAGTGACGTTTGCGTTGATTGTCTGTTTTAGAGAGCTAATATTTTGCTCACATGCCTGATGTAATTGGAAGTACTGGGATTTAACACCGATCTTTTTGTAGGACTTCCAGGAACATCAGAGTTCATTAAACACGGAGGAGAATTACATTAACAATAGAAAAATTTCTAAAGCCAAATAAATAGGAATGAGTAAAGAAAAGCTTTATCTTTAGCAGCTGTACTCTTCAACCTTACTTTCCAAATAAATGAATAATTAAAGACTTCTTGAGGCTTTGTAGTGTTATCGTTTTAATTGTTGCTGTTATCAGTTCACATATCATAGTTGCGGGTTTGTGGCAGATACTTGGCTTTACAGCTAATCACATGGCCACAGATGTGGCTATAATTCCAGCATTAGTGACTATCTGCTTCCCTAACCACTCCAGCAGAGCTGCATTCATTGCATCCAGCATCAGGTTTTTCCAGCGTGGAGATGGAGTTAACACAGAGATAGACACACCTGAGAAACACCCTCCCACTGGCCAAACCAGGACTCTCTCTCCTTCAGGTATCCTATTAAGGCTTATCCATCCATGCACCCATTTAGAAACTATGATTTTGTCCACCCTGCTTTGTTCCCTAGCTGGCTTTTTAAGTACCTATTCCCTTCCAGCTTTGTACTTGTATTGGCTCTGTTCTCTCTATTCAGGGCATAAAAAATACCGAAACAATTCCTGCGTCTTTGGGGATCAGTGAATAGGAAGGAGAGAGGTAGAAGAAGAGGCTGAGTCCCCCATAGAATCCTCTTTATCCCATTATTTTATCTGTTTTTTTTTTGTTGTTGTTAGCTATTGCTCTTTTATTTGTTGTCTCCAGCTTTCCAACTTCTGGTACAGAAATAGCAGTTTTTATTTTATATTTAAATTGATGCTTGCTTTTTAATTTCATGTTTT